TTGTAAAGATCATATATCGTACCCACATGAACTATCTATCTTAAAGGAAGATAAATTAGGTGAATGTTGGTTAAAAATGATTTCGTTTGATTAAACTATAAAAACTAATTTTAAAAAACAAAAATAAAATAAAATTAACAAGAAACTAATATTTCTAAAAGAAACTCAAATGAAATCAGTAACACAATACTAAGGACCAAAGTGACTAAAAGAAGCAAGCATACAGATTGTCGATTTCACACAGGAGAGAAAAGTGAGGTTTAGTTAACTTTCACCGGATCAATGATTCATCAAATGCAATTAAATAACTAACAAAAATATAGTGGTAATAAATTTGCTAACACATGAGAGAAAAGTGGGGTTTAGTGAACTTTCACCGGATCAATGATTCATCAAATGCAATTAAATAACTAACAAAAATATAGTGGTAATAAATTTGCTAACACCATCTAAAGTCATCAATTACATACCGGTCTCATGATTCGATTTAAAAACCACTCACTCATATGTCTATATGCCTCATGAAATTAAAAAAACATTAAGTTCAATGGTTTTGTTAATAGTTCACCAACACATGTCTGTACTGATTTTAAGTGTGTTGCGCCTCTAGGTTCACCTTCCATTGATTATTGAAGTTACCGATTCCTTTATAGTCAATAAACATGGAGAAAACAAACTATTCATGAGTGGATTGACCGGGAGGAGATCCCGGGCCAACACTCCGATGATAAAGTCAGTGATAACCTTATGAAAATACGTTGTAAGTCGTATAGACCTCAATGAAATGTGTATGTGTGATTACGTACCTTGTAAAGTGGTTTTGGTTACTTATTTATAGTCGATATTAGGAGGTGGTGACCTCTTCATGTACCGAACATGATTACCATCTTGTCGCATTAGTGGTCATATACATGAAGGTAGACTTTGGTGTATTTATTAGCCATTTTACAACTGTTTCTTGCTAGTAAAAGGATGTACTCGAGGTTGTATCTCTTTGAGTTCCATTATCCTTTGAGACTATTATGACGACACTTTGAACTTTAGTCATTACTTCTGTGGTTTGGTACACATACTTGGTTCGGTATATACACCTGGTTCGGTTTATATGTCTGATTGGTGTACATATCTGGTTCGGTATATATATATATATATATATATATATATATATATTATATATATATATGGTTCAGTATAGCGAGGGTATATGTGCATCTTGAGGCTCTATACCCTATTAACCCCCCCACTACACACACACACACAAACCCCGTTTGGATTATAACTTTTTTTTATTAAATAAAGTAATAATTCAAACTTAAGTGTATTAGCGATATAACCATTGTGAGTAGATAAGGATAAACACCTAAATTAAATTTCGACGTGAATGTTCAACGACTTATAGCGTTCATCATTATGCTTATAACCGTCTATTCAGTTCTTTTCCATTTAAAGACGCTACACTTCATAACCGCTACTTTGTCCCCTTCATAAATTTGCCCTTGATTTCCTATAAATATCGCTCTCATTTGGCTTATTTTTCTTCACTACATGTTTCGCCTTTCAAATTATTCTCCATTCTCGTTTCTTCACCTTATTCCTTCATCATTTTTTCATCATGGCCAGCAAAGAGATTTTAATCATTCGCATCATGAAGTCCAAAATTACTCCAAAAACACTGGCAAACATCATGATGAAGTGCGAAATTGATCCCCAATTCCATCCACGTTTTTCGGATCAGGTGAATGCCATTGTTGATGATCCGAAGGGATTTGTCGGTGTGTATCGGGTGTTTTTTCAGGTCTGGTTTGCGGCTTCCAACATTTGGCTTCTTGAAAACGGTTCTAAACTACTATAATCTACATATTGCTCAAATTACCCCAAATGGGTTTCAAAAGATTGTTTGCTTTGTGATGCTATGTTCTACCTTGGATGTTGCATCTTCTAACACCCTATTCCGTCATTTTTACGTCCCTATGTGTAATGATGTTGGGTATCCTTATCTTTCCATCATGGTTTGGTAGATATTTGTGACGGTTTTCCAACTTCCATAAAGTATAGAATTATTCTTTGTTCATGGATTTGCCTTCTGTGGACCCATGGTGTATGGCATCACTTCTGATAGGGCTGTCAATCCCTCGTCCAAATTGTCCCTCGAAGAACAGAGTATCAGACTATTTATCGAAATTTTTTGTCAAGTGGACAAACCTTAAGGAAATGATGCTAGGCATGGCGGGGATAAGTTCCCATTGGAATAAATTGGGGAAAATGACAATAAAAATCCTAGTGGGATGGTAAGTTACTTTATTGGAAGAATTGCACTGCAAATGCCTAGCGAGCTCTACTTTGGTCATGAAGGAGGCGGCCATACCCAATTATGCATCTCGGTCGGAATCTAGCATGAATTCTACTACTAATCCTCCTGGTCTGGAGATTGTTGTGCATGTGATGCCTTCCTTACCAAGAAGGAGTGGATAAAGAGGTTCCAAGCGTTCGAGATCACCCAAGTACCATGTTCGAAGAATAAAGAGGCAGACACCTTAAGTAAGCTAGCATTGGTAGTATTTAGTCACCTCTCAAAAAAAGTTGTTAGTAGAAATACACCAAAAAAGAGCATTGAGGGACCCATCATGGAAATTTGGACGTGACCAAAGAAGAAGAATCGTGGATGACACCATACATCCTTTTCCTTAAAAAAGGATATTACTTGCAGATGCTAAGGAAGCTCGTAAAGTGAGAATTAATGTGGCGCGATATACCATGTACAAAGATCGATTATACTAAAAAGGGTATTCCACCCCCTGGTTAAAGTGCATCATAGAAATAGACGCAAAGCTTGTTATGAGTGAGGTACATTCAGGTATATGTGACACACATGTATGATCAAGGGCAATCACCCAAAAAATACTTTGGACGGGATAGTTTTGGCCATCAATGACTAGTGACATGAATGTGTGCATCCAAAAATGTCATGATTGTCAGATACACTCAAATGTCCATGTTCCTCCACTTACAAAGCTAACAAACATCACTAGTCCTTGGCCCTTGTTCTAGTAGGGGATCGATATTCTGGGGCCCTTCCCTGAAACACCAGGAAGGCTAAAAATTGTTGATAATAGTTGTAGACTATTTCACTAAGAGGGTCGAAGCAGAAGCACTTGCAGTTATTTCATGAAAAAACATAGCGAAATTTGTTTAGAAACAAATAGTCTGTCAATTCGAGCTTCCACACACTATCGTTAGTGATAATGGAAAGCAATTCGCCGAAAATCCTTTCAAAAAATGGTGCCATGAGAAAGGAATCAAGAAAAATTTTACTTCTATGGCACACCCTCAGGAAAATGGACAAGTAGAAGTTACTAATTGAACTTTAGTGAAAGGGATCAAGAAAAGATTGGGGCATGCTAAAGGAAACCGAGTCAAAAAATTACAAAGCGTGTTCTAGGCATACCGAACAACGATGCACATGCCAACCAAAGAAGCATCGTTTAGCTTGGTATATTAGATGGAAGCAGTTATCCCTATAGAAGTAACAATACGAGGCACTCGAACCAGGAATCCCCAGGAAAACACGAACAACATAGACTTATCAGCAAACCTTGAACTTGTGGAAGAAAGGTGGAATGACGAGGCTACACCCGAGGCAGCCTATAGAACAATGACGGAAAGATACTACAACGCCACGAATCAGAATGACATCGTGTAAAGTGGGAGATTAGGTCCTTGGAAAAATGAAGCCATCCGACAAGAGCATATCGGAAGACTAAGCCCAAATTGGGAAGGGTCGTACCAAGTGATAAAAGCCATGGGAAATGGTTCATACGTCCTAGATGGTGTTGTAGAAGCCAGGTGGAATGACGCATCTATACCCGAGTCCATGCGGGCTTCGGTTAGGTGATTCTTAGGTCCTTATGACTTTGAAGAAACGCATGATTATCATATCTAGTGACTTTATGTTGGATTAAGTGTCTAATCCAATAACTAAATTGGTATATACTTGAATTATTAGCAAAGTAACTAGTAATTGACTAGAATGCTCTTTGGCAGGAGAGAGAGAGAGAGAGAGAGAGAGAGAGAGAGAGAGAGAGAGAGAGAGAGAGAGAGAGAGAGAGAGAGAGAAAGAGAGAGAGAGAGATTTATTGATCTTTTATAAGATTAATAAATTGCAATTAATGATTTATTAATATATTATGAGAATAATATATTAATTAGAAATAGTATTATTTAATTAAGAATTAGTTAGAAATTAATTGGAATTAATTTTGGGTTTAATTTGATTAATTAAAACTTCAAGGACTAAAACTATAATTATTCAATAATTGAACAAGAGATGAATTCGAGAATATTCCCGGGGTTAGCTAAAATTTTCAGGCTCCCTAGGGTTTCTAGATCCTTCCATATAGATAATATGGATAATTAGAAAACTAGATAATTCCAAATTTGAAATAATATTATTTTATTTCAAATTAGGGTTTCTAGATTTTCCTATCAGCTATAAATAGAGTCCATTGGTATCCAATTTTCGGCTACTCATTCTACCAAGAGAATACCTAAAAATTCCATCATTTCTCCAATATCTTCAAAGTTTTCTTAGTTGCCAGGGTTCGAGTATGAACCACCAGAAGCATGAGATTTATCGTGCTAACTTTCCGGAAGCTTTTGAAAAAAGGATTTGATTGATTATTTACAATAATGACCAAAGGTATGTAAACCCTAAATCTTTTATGATTTTCAATAATCCTAGTGTTTCTATAGGGTTCTTTGATGTTCATAGTTTATAACATTCGATAGTGAAAACATAGATCCAATTAGGTTGCATGTGAACTTA